AAAACATTGTTGTCTTTTTATTTCATAGTTTATCATAAATTTGATTCTTTTTATCTTTTTGTGTCGCATAGATATCAATGGATAATTTAGATAGAAGTTGGATGAGTCTCAGATGATGTAGTGATAAATATACTAGTGGAGTGAATGATTTTCTTCATAAGGCATTTCAACGAGCTTCTAAAGGAAATGAAATATTATGCCCTTGCAAAAAATGCATCAATCGTTATTGGCATTATAGAAATGTGGTGGAGGATCACTTGATTGTAAATGGATTTGTGGATGGATACAACAAATGGATTTTTCACGGGGAGAGACTTTCCTCACGAAATACACCACTTTCACGCAACCATGATGATATTGATGGACTACTTCATGATACATTTTGAAATATCGAGGGTGAAACAGGGCATGGAGAAGGAGAGAAAGAAGGGTTATCTGAAGATGCAAATAGATTTTTTAAATTAGTGGATGAAGGAAAAAAAGGGCTATATCCAGGGTGTGAGAACTTCAGTAAGCTGAGTTTCATCATTCGGTTATACTTGCTTAAATCTCTACATGGGTTGAGTGATGTGGCTTTTACTAATCTATTAGACTTGTTAAAAGAAGCATTTCCCTTTGCTCAACTGCCTGAGTCTTTCAATAAAGCTAAAAAATGGTAAAAGATTTGGGTCTCGGCTATGACAAAATACATGCATGCCCTAACGATTGCATGTTATTTTGGAATGAAAATGTAGAGAAAGATAATTGCTTTGTGTGTGGGTCTTCTAGATGGTCAAATGAGGGTGATGGAACGACTAATGCAAGCTCTAAAATACCAGCAAAGATTTTAAGGTACTTTCCTTTAAAGCCTAGGCTTCAGAGAATGTTTATGTGTCCTGAAACAGCTATTGCAATGAGATGGCATGATTCTGAATGACCTAATGATGGGAATATAAGGCATCCTGCTGATGGAGAAGCTTGGAAGGATTTTGATTCTATACATCCAAACTTCTCAAAAGATCATCGTAATATTCGATTGGGCCTTTCAAGTGATGGTTTCAATCCATTTCGAACCATGAGCATTTCCCATAGTACCTGGCCTGTTATGTTGATGAACTATAATTTATCACCATGGATTTGCATGAAGCCAGAGTATATGATGTTGTCGATGATCATTCCAGGGCCATCATCTCCTGGACAGGATATAGATGTGTACCTACAACCATTAATTGCTGAATTGAAGGAACTATGGGAATTTGGGATAGAAACATATGATGCTCATACAAATCAAACATTTCAAATGCGTGCAGCTTTAATGTGGACAATTAGTGATTTTCCAGCGCTAGCAATGCTTTCTGGATGGAGTACTAAGGGAAAATTAGCATGCCCCACATGTAACTACGACACATGCTCTCAATATCTCAAACATAGTCGTAAAATGTGTTACTTAGGTCATCGGGCATTTTTGCCTCCTGATCATCCATTTAGAAGAGACAAAAAATCTTTTAATGGAGAGGAGGATCATAGACCTGCACCTACATCCTTATCGGGCATAGAAGTGTTTGAAAAGTTACATGATTTCAATAATGTTTTTGGGAAGGGCAACAAGAAAAGACGTCGAAATAATGAGGGTCTATGGAAGAAAAGATCCATCTTTTTTGAATTACCATATTGGAAACATAATAAGTTGAGGCACAATCTTGATGTGATGCATATTGAGAAAAATATATGTGATAGTTTGCTTGGGACTTTATTAGATATCCCAGGAAAGTCAAAAGATCACGTTAATTCTCGCTATGACTTGCAAGAAATGGGGATACGAAAGGAGCTTCATCCAAGGAAATATAATACAAATGGAAATGCTCATTTAGCTAAATCTTGTTTTACCATGAAACCAGAAGAAAAACGATTATTTTGCACTGTTTTAAAAAATGCAAAATTCCCAAAAGGATTTGCCTCAAACATATCAGATCGTGTGGATGTGGATGAGATGAAAATATCAGGGTACAAAAGCCATGATGCTCATTTTATAATGCATTACTTGCTCCAAATTGTTGTTCGAAAAGGATTGCCGAAGAATGTTTCATTAGCCTTGATTAGGTTGGGGAACTTCTTTAAAGCTATATGCAGTAAGGTTATAAGGTGAGCAGATCTTGAGCCAATGCAGATTGAAATCAAAGAAATTGTTATGTGAGCTTGAAAAGATTTTTCCTCCATCTTTTTTGATATAATGGAACATTTGCCTATCCATTTGGTTGATGAAATTAGATTGGGTGGTCCAAATCATCTTCGATGGATGTATTCCACTAAGAGAAAAATGTGTAAGTTCAAGGGTCTTTTTCGTAATCGACGTTATCCAGAAGGTTGTATAGTAGAGGGATTTGATGTGGAAGAGTTCTTGATCTTTGGTTCGAGATACCTACATTATGGAGTGAAGACACCATTCAATAGGTACCGAACTGAGGATGATGAGGATGTTAGAAAAGAGGGAGATGATTTGTCCCTTTTGTTTCCTAAGCTTGGGCATCCAGTTGGAAATGGGAAGAAGAAAAAGGAAAGATTTTTACCATGGATCTAGAGTTATCTAGTGAAGTACATCGATATGTTCTCTTCAATACTGGTGATGAACAAATGGAAGATTTTATCAAGTAAGATAAAAACATAGTAATTATATATAATTTAAACTTCATCTGTTCAATTATTATGAAGCACTTAAAATTTCAATTATAAATGCCTAATAATCAAACTTGAATTATTCATACTTGCAGGGAGCATAAGATGTTAATTGATAGTAATATTAGATCAAATGCAATGGACAAGAGCAAAGAGTCATAATCAGGAATTTGGCAACTGGTTCAAAGAGAAAGTTAAAAATGTTGAAGTGCCTAATCAGTTAAGATGGCTAGCTAAAGGGCCTAATAGGGTGGCAACCAAAAGATATAATGCATACTGCATTAATGGATACCGATTTCATGCATTAAAACGTGGTTTCTCACGCAAGTCTCAAAATAGTGGAGTGACTTTATCAGGGACAACTGATAGTTTTGCTAGTGCTCGAGATCAAAATCCCATTGATGGAGACGTTATATATTATGGGGCTATTCAAGATATCATTGAGGTTGATTATTACAATTGTTTTAGTGTTGTACTATTTAGATGTGATTGGTTTCATAATGAAATAGATGAATATGGTTTAACTCGTGTGTACTTCAACAAATCACGAAGTACAGATGACCCTTTTGTGTTGGCGTCTCAAGTGCATCAAGTATTTTATGTGGCAGATCCAATCGAGAAGGATGTTTATTATGCAAGGAATAAAGTGCTTGTTGATTTGTATGACTTGGAGGAAGAAAATTGTCCTAATATTGGAGATACATTTTGGAGAGAGCTAAGTGAAGACAATTGGTCCCTCAGATAGATTATCCGATGTTGACATGAGATGGTCAAGAGAAGATATTCCTGTTGATGTTGTTGATATGCCATCTAATGCTCAATTTTCAGAGGATACAACTATGGGAACGTCGGAAGAGGAGGATGATTTTGACGATACTGATTGGGATTGGATGGATGCGGATGATTAAATAAATAATTTCTGAATGTCTTGTAAATATATATTTATCATCGTTTTATTTTATTTTGAGTGAGTGATAAATGTCCTTTCTTTAGAAATACATGTTTCTTTTATTCTTTTTTCTTGAAATTATATTCTGATTTGTTTCTTAGAAATACATGTACCTTATATTTTGCTTAAAAAGATCTGATTCTTATTCATATATATCGTTTTGACAGATTCGATAGTCATGAGGAAGGAGGAGACTTCAAAAACAAAACAAGAAAGGAAAAGGAAAACAATATGTGCAGGCTGGAACACTTACATCTATGGCTTACAAAAGGGTTTCTTCACTGAGATCAAAAGAGAATATTCAATCTATTCTGCCATGAAAATCCTCTACTCTTGTGGCACAAACTGTACAAAAAGAATTGCGTAAAGTGCCTCAGAATTCTTGTACATTGAAAGCACAGTCTAAAAAGGATCAAATGCCTCAGAGTTGTTCCACTCTAAAAGCAAGATCTATGCAGAAATCACAGCAACATGTGCCTCCGAGTTTTTCCACTTTAAAAGCACATGTTGTGCAGGAACAAGTGCAACCAACACCTATGAATTCTTCCACTGTAGTAGCACAAGTTTCAGAGAACCAGTTGCAACATGTGCCAAGAGAATCTCCTATTGTAGAGGCACACGATGTACAGTACCAAGTGCAACAAGAGACACAAAATTCGAAAGAAAATGACCTTTCAGGAGAACTAGGTAAAAACATATAAATTCACTTCTAAAATTGTAAAATTAGTTAACATTGTTGATATGTTGTTTAACTTTCCTTCGTATTATTGTAGGGCCTGTGACTCAAAAAAAAGAAAAGAGGTAGTACTGTAATGCAAAGTGTACATGGGCGACAAGAGCGTAAGTTGGTCGTGTTGAATAGGTACAATCAACCCATTGGTCCTACTAATGCCGTTGTAACAGAGTTGGGGAGTTTTCTTGGAACCTTGGCATGGAATGCGATGCTTTGTCCTCTTAATATTCATAATTGGAAGAATATGGACACAAAAAAAATATTTGTGGGATTATACCCAGGTTTGAGTTCCTGCATTTCTAATTTCAGTTATAAACTTTTCATACTTTTTACTAATATAAAGAACAAATTGTAGGAGAAATATGATATTCCTGATAGTGCAAAAAAATGGGCTTTGGAGGGAATTAGAAATGCTCGGAGAAAGTATAAGAATGACTTGTATGAGAATCATTATAAAGCATATGATAATGATGATCTTCGAATGGCAAATAAGCCCAAAGATGTTTTAGAATTTGATTTTAAGGACGTTCTCAAATATTAGGACTCTGAAAAATTCAAGGTTAGATTTATATTTTATGTTCAGATTGATTCATTTTTCTGTTTTTGATTCATTTTTTAATTTACGTAGAATTTACTAACTCGTTTATTTATAGGAAATGAGTGAAAGAAATACCAAAGATCGAAAAAAATGGATGAATCCACATACTGCTGGTAAAATAAGTTTTGCTGTGATACGCAATAATTTGGTATGTTATCCTGTTAATCATTAAATATGAACTTGTTGTCATAAAAGATCTTTAATACCAACTTTATGTAATTAGGAAAAAGAGAAGGAAAGCCCCGATGAGCTGTCAGCTAAATAACTCTTTGTGGCTACAAGATCAAGAAAACCTGGTCGAGTATACACGGACTCCAACGAAGATACAATTAGTAAAATTGTATGACTTTTATTTGGTTATAATGTTGTTAAGATCCTTTATTTGTTCTTAAATACTTGATTTTATTTATTTGAATTTGATTTGTAGGTTGAAATGGAGAAAATGCAAAGTCAACAGAATGAAGATGACAATCAATCATTTGATGCTTTTACAACAGTCATGGGACATGAACACCCAGGGTGCCTGAGATTGTATGGACGAGGAGTTACCAAAAGTACTTTGAAAAGAAAAGCGCTTTCTGAACCTTATTTAAGTGCTAATGATGAGAGGATGGAAAAAAAATGGAGGAATTGGAAGAGAGGATGCATCAAAGGATGGCGGAAAAATTAGAACAACAAAAAGTAACCATACACCAAGAAGTTATACATGATATTCTTGGATGATTTAATCGTATGTACCCTGGACTTCAATTGAATGTTGTCATGTTGGCATCAGTGGGTGCTCAGTCACCACAAGAAGCTATGCAACCGTTGAATCGTCCATCTTCTAGCAAAAACCATCAAGGTATGTCATTATTATTCACTTAATTCTTTCATCCATCTTTAATTATAGCTGTTCCAGATGAATGTTGAGTTTTCTACTCACTTTTTGTGTATAGATTTATCTCGATCAGGACCCTGTTTTGAGTATCAGAACCTTGGACTCTTCTTTTCCTTTTCCAAATGTTTTGGTTGTGAAAAATGTTAGTCTTTGAATCATTGTTCTCTCATTAGTGTGCCATCTTAAATTATGAAAATTATTGTGGCTCTTATTTGTTAGTGAAGTTGTTGGACGGTTGGAAATGATAAATATTTTAGCACTAAAGGGCTGGCCTATTGCTGACACAGATGAACCGTTGTTGTAAGTACTAGTTTGTAGACAATTTGTCTGAGTATCTACGCTGTTGTTGGCCCTTATGCGAATATTAGTAACTTGTTGTTAGTTTAAATTAAGGATCATCCTCGCTTGACTTGGCAGATCTGAAAAACCATGTTGGCTAAATAAATTTTGCAAAACATATTTCCTTCTCTGTAAGTGTGTTTAATTTGAATCCGACACAATTGAGATGTATCCATTATGTCTCCAATAATTATGTATTTGAGTTTTTCACCATTCTGCGACTTTAACTTGGCCAAATAGATTGTCTTTTCCTATATGTAGTGGAGTCTGGATGAAGTTTTGGATACTTATAACTTGTGTGCTTGGTGTGTGAGTGTGATTTATCACTTCCATGGCTTGAATTTGACTAGTTATGCTGAATTGGAAGGGTTTGAATAAAGTCTGAAGATTCTGTCCCTTCCTGTTTTGTTGTTAAATTTCCTTCCCTTGAAAATTGTTTTTTTTGAGTTATTGTGGTATACTTTGGTACACTGCTAATGTTGCTATATTTAAGTGTCATGTTTATTTTATTATATATTCCCCTTGAATGTGTTTTGTTAATGTGTCTCTCTTTCAATACAAAGCTATATTACTAATTTTTGAGCCATTTGTATCGCCCAACTAGCCCTGCACCCACTAAAAGAAAAACAGTTCCAATCTGAGCCATTTCAGGTTGCTGGATACAACTTGCATTTTTACAGCAGGCAAAAAACTAGTAAAAAGTTTATGTCAAAGACAAATAGGCAGGCTGGTTAAATAGTTTGACTAACTAAAGGTTACTTAATAGTAATTGGCCAAACTGTAGGTTATATCAATTTATTTTCTGCTACTATATAATGCACCAACCTTTGTTAACATACTCAAAGTATGCGTCGTGATATAAGGAAAAAGTACAGATTGCAAGAAATGCACTTTTGGCACATTACATATGCTCGATAAGTCAGAAGTGATTCTTTATATAAATGGATTGTTATAGGTATTGTTTTTCTGTGTAATGGTGACTAAGTGGGAATCAAGACATGTAAAGATTCTGTCTTTCGCATTTTCTGTTTGGTGTCATCACTATCTCTTGTTATTTGCTCTGTCACTAAACTGTTTTTTCGAATGTGTTTTTGAAATGATTTGTTCATTTGGTGAAGTTGAGTCACAAGACAGGAATGTGTTTTACATATTATCTTCCTTCGTTTCCCTGATATCCTCCTTCATTTGGTGGAAGTTCTATTTTTCACAAGGAACCAAACTCATCTTCTTCATCCCCATTAACAAGATCAGTCAAGTTGTTCTTTTCATTATAGTTATATTAGTTTTCTTGTTTTTCATATCTGGTCTGCTCCATTTGCTAGTTAGGTTTCTTATCAAACACCCTTCTTCTTCAGCGTCATCTCAATCTAATGGATACCCTAAAATTTCTAGTTCATATTCTTTGCAAAGGCAGTTACAATAGTTATTCCATTTACATGATTCTGGTTTGGATCAAGCATTTATTGATGCATTACTTGTCTTTTTGTACAAAGAGGTTGTTAGTCCTAAAGAGCCCTTTGATTGTGCTGTTTGTTTGTGTGAATTCTCTAATAAGGATAAATTAAGATTGCTCCCTACTTAGAGCCATGCTTTCCATAGCAACTGCATTGATACTTGGCTAAGTTTACCTTCCATTCCTTTGGTTTTACCTTTTTTCTTTATGCACAGTTGATTGAGCAAATGAAATGTTTGATTATTTTAAACTTTTATTTTTCTGGTCTTTTATAGGTGGAGAATATAATGAAGAGAATGATGAAAGCAGTGATGAAGACCTTATTACTTGATCTAATTGATTGAAAGATGTAGAAACCTTTTAGCTTTAGGTCGACTCTTTTGCTTCTTGACTATTTTGAAACTTTTGTTAAGCTACAATTATTTTGTTTTAATTTCTATTAGTATGGAACTTGTGCAAAACTATTGAAAACATGTGTTTTGGTATATATATTTTACCTTTATGGATATTGTGATGACTAGGATATTTCGAATTATATATGTGAATTGGCTATATATAATTAGTCGTTTTCTTACGTAATTTGATTTAGAGAATTTTTTATAAATTGTTGTTGATTTATACATATATATATATAATGCTCAAGAAACCTCAACTATTGCAACATGTTAGGAAAAACGGTAGATTTATATAGATTGGTTGCAATAGAAAATAAAAATGTTGCAATATCAATTAAAATCATTGCCAAAATATTTTAAAAAGTGTTGCCATAAGAACAATCTATTGCAACATACTCTATTGCAATGGTTGCTAACAGTTACCACAACCCCTAATGCAACAGTTGTAAACCGTTACAACTGCTGTAATATTATAGTGCATATAGATGGACAGAAAACCGTTGCAATAGAGGTTCCTATAGCAACACTTTCAAGAACCGTGACATTAACTGTTACAATAGAGCTATAGTAACGCGAGTAGATGAGACGGTTGTAAAACCATTGCTGTAGCGCTCTGGCAACGGTTTTTGGTCCTATTGCAACGCATATGAAACTGTTGTTGTAGATCAAAATTCTAGTAGTGTTGGCTCCGATTTAAGATATTGGTGCTACAATGCCCAACCCATGGTTTACCTAATAATGTTCTCCTTCAATACTTCTACCGGAGTCTAGACTCGGTAAACAAAGGTGTAGCTGATCAACTCTCGCCCGGAGGATTAATGCAACAACCATATGCAGTAGCAGCTCAACTTCTCGATGGCATGACAACCATCAACAGGGCGTGGTACACCAGCAAATACCAGGTCTCACTGGCCACATTTCAGTTATCTAAGGAACAACTTAAAAAAGATAATGAGAGAGACCAAAACATGGCCAAGATCATGACGCAGCTTGAAATTTAATCCAAAAATGTCATAGGGGTTGGTGCTCATGATGTCAATGATGTGGGAGTCGGGGTACGAATCCTGAGGAGATGAAGTTTGAAGCCATGTATGACGAGAAAGTAAATTTTCTAACTAACCAAGGCGGGGGCTATCGTTCAAACTACCCAAGGAAGGGTGGTAACCAAGGATGGGTTAAAGACGACGGCTGGAAGGATAGAAATCCTGAATGGAGGGACCGTAATCCAAATTGGAAGGATGGGTACAAGGATAGATATGTGACCCCCACGAGCGTCAGAAGCCCAAGGATTCGGAAGGTGGTAGGTCCGAGGATATGCTCTCGCGTATCCTAAAGAAAGTTGAAGGATTAGACAAAATGCTGAAAGGCTTGAAAGAAGACGTGTCTACCCTCAGCCAGACTGTCACATCTCATTCAGTTTCGATCAAGTAGTTAGAGACCCAAATGGGTCATATCTCATCTCATCTCAAATCCGAGAAAACAAGGGGGTTTGCCTAGTGATACTATGGCTAACCCCAAGAATGAGGTCTGAAGGTGGACTTGTGTCGTGCCACGACGTTAACTAAGGCGCTATTTGGGAGGCAACCCAAAAACCCTTTAAGTATTTCCTAATTACTAGTAGAATAATGGTGTGTTTTTTGTACAAGTTAAAGTAAGGGAGGTGATTGAAATTGTATATGGAGGCAAGCAATAGGTCCAGTTGGCGGATCGTAGACAAGATCAGCGAACACGATTCTTTCCGCCGTCTGACACAAGGCACTATCATCTTGGATCCTATAAAACTCGGCGGTTGAAGAAAATTAGTGGCACATCACCGACGATGTTGGCAATCTCGATGAAAACCGTCGATTGGAATCCTCACATGAGATGCAGATCCCGTTACACTTGGCGAAGAAACTAGACACTTGGCGCTTCGCCGAGTGAATGGGCGAACTTGACTGACATCGCCGAATGGGGGGAAACTGGACGGTTTTTGCAGGCCACAGGTTTAAAACTTCTATTTCATTCATTTTCTCTCACTTCTTCTTCCTATCAAACTCACACTTTCACTCTAGCCTTTTATTTCTTGTGCTTTTAGAGTATTTTAGCTATTGAATTGTGCTCGGAGTTGGATTGAATTGCTGCCTAGCACTTCATTAGTATTTATTTGGCTGCAAAGGTTGGTAACTCGAACCCAGCGTTTAAGATATTAACATTGTACTCATTTGCATA